AATATCAGAGAGGGAATTACTTTGTATAATATAAAGTAAAAAATGTTTTTCAAGTAAAAAACAAATTTTTATGATTGAATTTGTGCTCATTCACAGGTAGGTTAATGAAGGGCCTAATTACTTTAAAACAGTTCAGTTGTTTTTATGCCTCCATGCTAGCAATAGCCGTAGCCTGAGGCATTATGTTTTCGGGTTTTCTGTCCCTCCGTTCAGTTCTCGTGAAGGTGATTTCAAAGACGGCTAGGGAATTTCTTCAAATTTGGCAAAAAAAAGGCCACTTGGACTCAACAATGAACTGATCAGATTTTGGTGCTCATAGGTCAAAGGTCAGTGTCACTCACTGTGACTTTGTCTCATTCTTGTGAGCACAGTATCTCAAGAACACCTTGATATCCTCAAATTTTGCACAAACATGCACTTGGATTCAACAATAAATGGATTAGAATTTAGCGGTTGAAGGTCAAAGTCACTGTGACCTTGCATCCGTCTCACTCTCATGAACACAAAATTGCAAGAAGGCCCTGGGGGATTTTCCTAAAATTGGCACAAACGTCCACTTAGACTCAGAAATGGACTGATTAGAGTTTGGTTGTCAAAGGTCAACAGTCATGTTTAATAGTATAAAATGATGAAGTAATGACATTCAAAAGGTTAAAGATCAACTGCACTGTGACATTATAATATTCTGCATAAAACACTTTTCTGGCCATTATTCAATGTCATATCTCAGGAAAAGAAGTGATGACATTTGGTCAGATACTGAATTGGTGACACAAATCTTGGGTGCCCTTCTTCAAACTGTGCTGATTGTATAGATCTTCTGTGCTGCTGGGGTGGGGGTGTGTGTGTGTGTAAAGCATCCATGTTTTCACAGACATGGAAGTAAACTGTAAGAGAAACTTGAGTGGTGCACGCAGGCATTCAACCACAAGACAGTAGTTCTAGTTTTTATAGTGTAGACTTCAGTGTTTCCCTGGCAGACAAGAGGGAATAAATAACAACAAAAAGAAACTGAAAAACAATATAAAAACATTGGTACCTTGAACTGCCCAGAATTTCAAAATCGATGCATTCCTATAATTTATCTATCTCTTAATTTCTTTTTGTCAAAGTCAGTCAAGCTCTTCTGAAAGTTTACATTTGTGATGTTCCAAATCTTTAAATCTACTACTGAACCTATTACTGTCCTTTTACTTTTATGTCCACTTACCTGTTGGCAAAAATGTAGCCTAGATTTACCTTAGTCAAGCCGATAACCACATTGCTACATAAAACCTACCTCTGCACAGGACCACATATATACTACTTACTTTTACACTTAAACCTGTAATGCTTGATAAGGAAAGAGATTATTTGTCTAAAGTCTTAAATTTGGTTAAAAAAAGAAGAAATAAATAAAAATAAATATACACACACACACACACACACACATACATATATACATATATACAGTACAGGCCAAAAGTTTGGACACACCTTCTCATTCAATGCGTTTTCTTTATTTTCATGACTATTTACATTGTAGATTCTCACTGAAGGCATCAAAACTATGAATGAACACATGTGGAGTTATGTACTTAACAAAAAAAGGTGAAATAACTGAAAACATGTTTTATATTCTAGTTTCTTCAAAATAGCCACCCTTTGCTCTGATTACTGCTTTGCACACTCTTGGCATTCTCTCCATGAGCTTCAAGAGGTAGTCACCTGAAATGGTTTCCACTTCACAGGTGTGCCTTATCAGGGTTAATTAGTGGAATTTCTTGCTTTATCAATGGGGTTTTCAGTTTTCAGTTATTTCACCTTTTTTTGTTAAGTACATAACTCCACATGTGTTCATTCATAGTTTTGATGCCTTCAGTGAGAATCTACAATGTAAATAGTCATGAAAATAAAGAAAACGCATTGAATGAGAAGGTGTGTCCAAACTTTTGGCCTGTACTGTATATATATATATATATATATATAGCTTTAAGTTTAAGTTTCTGATACCTGTAGACACCCTAGATACCTCTGAGGACTTAACTCAGGTTGTGTCTAGGGGCATGGTCTCTGTATTACATACACAGTCTCATTTGGTCAAAGAGCACACTCTACTGAAGAATTTCAACAGAATATATCCAGGGAAAAAAGCAAAGTGCAGAGGCTACCAATCGACCTTGAAACAGAGACAACTTGTAACAGATGGTCAGCACAAACAAGCATGTGTGTGTGAGGTATAGGAGGCATCGATCAGTAAGTTCAGAAGGTCACTGAGCAAATGGAAGGGCTGAAAGGGACAAGGGCTTAAAGGCAAGTGGGTAAATAGAGAAATCTCATATCTTGGTTGACATGTGAGAAAGAAAAACATTTGTTCATTTTGTCAGTTTGATACTGTACCCTGGCAGTATTACATGTGTCAGACTAACTCAGGAAATAGTCGAGGATGAGTGATTGCATATGTAATTTGGCTCTAAGAGATTAAAGATATGCGTACAGTTCTAAAGGCTAATATTATATCTGCACAGTCAGACGTCAGTGGGAATATAAAAGTCTTCAGTGGACTAGCTGTGTTAAATCCAACTGGCAGCCGATGGAAAGATGCTAAAATTTGGGATAAAGAGCCTCTTTGTATCACACTAGTGAAAATCCAGTAGCTGTAATATTTTCAGCAGTGCAACCTCCACGCAAGAGTTGCATCAGAAATTCAGGATTTTGAACCCGGTGTTCAGGTGTTAGAAATTCTTTATAAAGTGTCTCACGCAAAGTAAAGTGACACTGCACAGACAAGCAACGAATTCATTGTTCAGCTACTGTTGAAGATGGTGCGGGGGTGTTTAAAGCCTTGTTAAAACTGTATCGCCAGGCCTGATGTGAAATACTGTGATGTCTCGCACCCACATGAGAAAGAAGGGAGAAGGGGATATGGAGATTTGGCAAATAAAAATAAATCATATACAGAGGGCTTTATGTCTCTAGAGCTTTAAGGTTTGAATTGTCTTGCTTTTGGTAAAACAGCCTGCCCTCTTTGTCGGGAACAATACTTACAGCTGTGTTGTTACCGAGGAGATTGAGTGAATAAATACCGGTTGGGTTCTTTATTTAAATCCAAGTAAAGCCACCAGCTAGCTAAATATATTCACTCATAGATCCTCTCCATGAGCCCTGCAAGTCTCCCAAAGCCAAAGATCTGAGGAGGTTTGTTGTTGTAGCCTGCAGCTATGCATCGATCTATCAGAAACTTCACTGGTCCAGTTAATCACCTTATTCCTAGAGAGAGACAGGGAGAAACAACAAGCCAGAGGCGGGAAAAGGTCCTGCTTTTTGTTTGAGTAATTCATTTTAATTGTTGGGTTTCAGTGCTTGAAGATTAATTAATGGCTGATATTTGCCGAAATTGGGTTTATTGTTTTTGTTTTGTTATTGTAATTGATGTAGTCATGTACAAAATTGACTCTGAGTTGACGGAGGGAGGAAAAGAGGATGAGAGGAAAGAAGGGAGGGGAGGAAAGGCTTCACTGACAAACTTAATCACCCCATTCTCTCACTGAAAGGAGGGGAAGTATGAATAGACATAAAGGAGTGAACGGAGGCCGGGGCGAGGAGAGAGGGCAGGGAGGAAACAAGGAAAGGAGGGGATAAAGGAAGAGAAGACAGACAGCTTTTTACTCATTTTAATAACATGAAAAAAAATTCTGCTAGATGAATCAGAGGGGAAGAGAAAAAGAGCAGATTGAGGGAAGAAAAGTTGGGGTCAGGAGAGTGAAGGTTTAAGTGGGCGAAAGAATATAGCTGGAAAGTGTTTTCAAGTTGTATTGATTATTACAGTCTGTGATTTATCCTGTGCTTTTATTCCCTGTAAAGTACTTAACTAACCTTGTTTATATATAGCCTTGTTGAAAAGTTTGTCTATATAAAGAATATAATGTTACTATTATTATTTGCCCCAGTATTCAGTCAGTTGTGATCATCATTGTGTCATACCCAGCTCACATGGACTTAGAAGAACCAAACAACCTTTGAGACACTTAATTTTATTCTGACTTTTTATTTAATGCTAAAAATATTTTCTTCTTGGTAAAAAAGAGGTAATTAAGGAGTGTTCTGTTTTTGGATGACTTGTTTAGTTAATAGAGTGAATCTTGAGTTGTAAACAAATAGTGAGAATCCATATCACGAGAGTTAATTGTGAAAGAGCTAGCATGAGGGACTGACTTACACAACTCTTGGATGTTAATTCTTTCTAATTACATATTTTCACAATCTTACGCTTCAAAAGATTTACAAAATAAAAGCCACTCTTGACTTGCAAAATTATTCATTTATATAGACAAACAACAATTGTAATTCATGGAACAATTCAAAGAGGATCAAAAAATTGTGTGTCTCACTCCATTACCTGCCTACCTTTATATATTTTGTGACATAAGGTCCCATGGTGATGGCCACTGAAAGAGGAAGGACTTTGCCTCTCTATGGTAGTCAATATCCAGATTATAGCAGTGAATAAAAAAGTGCATATCGAGTATAAATAATTTTATCGAAAATGCATTACTGCTACACCTTTTGCACAATTGTATGTACATTTTACAACACACACCTGGTGTTATGTGCGTTTGTAGAGACTTCATAAATTGAATAAACTATTAAAGGAGCATTAAAAGCAGATCTCTGTCTATTCATTCATCTTCACTGTCTATCATGAATTTATCAAACAGCCTCTCATGTGCCACTTAACATGAACATGATCCAACAAGACACACACCCACTGACATCCATCATTATGTTTGTCATATACATGCTTATGTGTGACAAACAAAATGATTATATTACAATCTTTCATACTGTGGAAACATGCTGGTAAAATAACGTATGTCTGCAAAACAGAGCAAAATTACCCATGTTCTGCATTCTTTAATTATTGGCTTTGGAGTTTAATCAAAGCAGCAGTAAACCTGTGCTCATAATTCTAACTGAATATATTAATATAACTTTCGGTTTCTGTGTATGTGTATTGACAGGTGTCTGACAAGCCCAAAGCCAGAGGCACAGCCTTGAGGTAAGACAAATGGCCACACTCTGTGCTGTAACACTGTGATTTATTTATCTCAGTAGTACATCTATTGTGTTACAACCAAATGGAGCAGAGATGTTCACATTTTGCATATAAAGGCTTGTTAGATGTGGATTGTTCCGTGTCGTTTTGACTGGGAGAAATTTAAGTTTAATCTACGTGTAGTGTGCATTTGGACGTTTAGCTAAAGCATCACCCTTCCACTGTGGATCTGGTGGGCAGTGTGTCTTTGGCAGAGTATATAAAGTCAGTGTATGACTTTCAGTATCAACCAAACAACAAGCTATAAATAAATGCTCTTTGCCCTGAAACATACAATTGAGGCAGCCGTGGTCAGTGTTGGATGACTCTCTGTAGCTGTTGTTGGAAGCGTTGTTAAGGTCAAAGACGTTACTGTGACTGTGGATATCACTTTAAAATCTAAAAGATGAAGAGGCCGAGGTTACTGGATGCTGTTTAAGTGTTTGAGTGTGGATCAAAGATTCTGTCCAGGATTAGTAATGTCTGAAGGTTATTGCAAATACAACCACTATTAAGCTTTCTGGAGGTGTAGTGGCTCTAATTCACTGAAACATCTGTGATGGCAGGTGCCCACTTGAAAACCCCAGTCAGTAGCCTGCACTCACATCCTCAGCTCTGTACTGTTTGAAATTAGGCAGCAGATGTCCTCTATACTCACTATTTGTAGGTTAGTGCATAAATCTCTACACATAGGAGCCAGGCTTCTGCACACTCACTTGGGATTATTGTTGAGACATCAAATCCTGTGTGTTGTTATACATAGATACATGCATAATGATAGAAGGTCAGTTAGTGAGATTTCCTCAGCCTTTCTTTCACTAAACGTAGTCTCATTATGGCTTAACACAAATTAAACATGTGATGTTGATCCAGAAACAGAGCATATGGTGAACATATGGGTGAATATCAAATAAAAAGCTTTGCCCTGGTAGTAATATTGCATGTTTATTAACGTGTTTAAAAGTGTGTGGAACCCTCCTCTTTGACATTGCTTTGAGATAAAACATTGTAATTAGGTACAGTTTTGAGGTACTTAAATGAGTATTTCCATTGAAGGCTGCTTTCTTCGTTTACTTCTTTACATTTCAGAGAGAAATATTTACATTTTTGGTATGTGACAACTACAGTTAAAAGTTACAATTTTGATATACAAAACATACAAACCACTGCGCAAAATATGCATTTTTATGGATTTAACAGCCCAACAAAGTCAGGGTAAATGCAGCACAAAATTAATTGCTGCTTCTTTAAGGAACACTTCACCCCTAAAATGATCATTTGTATATCAGTTACTCACCCCGAGTCACAAGTCAGTCAGTTTGGGAAGAAAACTTTGTTTTTCTACATGCCTCCACTGTGAGCTGAGAATTACAAAAAATGCAAACATTCTTGATGAATTAAAGGAATAGGCGACGTTTTTGGATTTGTCATTGACCGTGGAGGCAGGCAAGTTTTTGTTTTTATGAATTCAAGGTAACACGGGCTGAGTAACTGATACACAAATGGTGATTTAGGGGTTGAAATATTCCTTTAAGCTTCATAAAGGAAAAAAAACTGAGACAAAGGTTGCAAATCTACAGCAGTGTAAGGGTATTTTATTCTAGAGTTTAAAATCCAAATGTTACCATAAAGACTAGATTTGACGGTGAATATAAAATAATAGACCCCATCTGATGATCACTGGCAGAAAATAGCAGAGAATATTTAAGCAGTTCAGGGTCAATGAAAGGATCGTTCTCCTGCATTTCTCATTTCAAAGTGGAATGTGAGGCAGAAGACTCTTTGTCCTTGTCAATCATCCCAGCAGGGGGACTGGAGTAACTGTGGTGCATGTTGGAAGAGTTTCTTTTGTTGTATTGGTTGGAATGTCCTCACTTCATTACCCAGAATCCATATACTGTGATGTCAGTACAGGCTTAGCGAATGGTGAAAAAAATAAATCTTGATTGTGATGATTCAGCCATCTCTTAAAAGGAAGTAGTGCTTGTTTGTTGGTGTTTCATTGTGAGTCTACCAGAACCTTATTTAAGCAAAAGTTCTGTTGCTCCTCCCAGTTTAATTTAGCCTAAGGTAAAAGGCTGGAGACAATGTACACGAATGATTGTCCATGATGAGGTGAGGTGATGAAGTCCATTTCCATTTTCCACAGTTACATCCTTTGTGGGCTTCCCATTGTGATACACTATTGTCTTCATGTAACATCTTGGGGGAACATGTCACCTAATTAATCATTAGAAAAAAATCTTAGTTGCATTTGTAACATCACAGAACATGGGAGAAAATTCATGTAAACAGCTGATTTTAGCACCAAGATCAATTTTTCATAAGTTGATCTTTTGCTTGGAATGTGTTGTAAAGCTCAGTCTGGTGCATAAGAATATAAGAATCTTTTATAAATGAGGCTCGTTGTGTTCACAGTCTGAAGGCATTAGTATGCAAGTCTGGTGTGTGTGTGTGTGTGTGTGTGTGTGCGCGTGCATGCGTGTGTGTGTGTGTGTGCGTGTGAGAGAGAGAGCAAGCGTGTGCTGTGTGTCTGTGTGTGCCCCAGGCCATGTGTTACTCTGCTACCGCTAATGAGCCCATTCACTCTGCAGCCCAATCTACTGAGCACCACACACACACATACACATATCCGGGGGGACGCTGGGACTAGAGATGCTGCGAGCGATCCACTGGCTATATCCCCCATGGAGAGCAACACACACTTTCACTTTCACACACACACACACACACACACACACACACTCTCTCTCTCTCTCTCTCTCTCTCTCACCCACACTCCTCACACCATCCATACAGACACACTTTTTTTTTTTAAATCCTTGCTCTGACTACCTCACCCACATACCGATCGTTATTCTGCTGCCACACACGTGCACACACACACACACACACACACACAACACACAACCACCCACTCTATCCATCCCACTGTAGCGTATATTCGACCGTGTCATTTTTATATTTATGCTCTGTGATCTTTAAAATCTTTGTGCTATCTGCTTCCCTGTATTTTCTTCATTATATCCTTTCTTTTATCATATAAACCCCGGTGAGGAACAGTGCCCTGAGTCATTTAGAACTGTCTTTCTATTCTAATTATTTAGTGGTAATAACATTAACCCGTCAATGTGTGAGTTGAAAATGTTTCAACATTAGTGAAAAAGTTGTGCTTCCCCTGAGGCTTTATGACTCTCATTTATTTACAGACAGGCAATGTGAGTAGGACGGATCAGACCAGACTTCTCAGTAATTTTACCTTGCAGAACACGGAATTTGTCGGTGTACAGCTGCCTCAATCAAGTAGTTTGTTTTTCTGAAGGCCTTTACACCCCTGGGGCGTGACGAATAAACAACAAAAAATAGTGAAATAGTTGCCTGCAAATATTTCGCATCAAAGCTATTCATACAGGCAGCAATGCCAATTTGCGACAAATGCAACACTTGTTCAATAAAAGGTTTTGATGTGAATACATTGACCAGCAGTGCTATGAATTTGCAACAACTACCAATATCCTATTGACCCAGAGCAACATCTGGTGGTCTTTCTGGGGTAAGTTGTTGTATAGCCTAAGCTGCTGGAAGCTATTTGATTGAATTTCCTGTAGCAAAATGCTCTGTGTAAATTTCAGTTCCCTCTGTTAAACAGTAACATAGTTATATGTAGGGCTGGGTGGTATGACAAAATTTTCACGTCATGGTTTTAAGAAAAAATCATATCGGTTTCAAGGTATTTCACGGTATTTTGCTCAGGTTCGGCCAAACTTGACATGCTGCTGTGTTGTGCTATGGCTTATTCAAGTGCCGGAATTTGTTATTGACCTGACAACGCCTGAACGCAACACACGCTCCGCTCCATTAGTGCTGTGCTCGGTTATAACTGTCTCGGACTCGGGACGGGTCGTCTTCAGTCAGGAAAATGTGGCCCGAGCCGTGCTCTAGTGTGCACACCTGCGTGTGTGCACTTTGTCTCTGTGTGTGTGCGCATCAGGGCGAAATTCTGCTGTGCACGATACAGAGAGCAGAGGAGAATTGTAAACGTCGGTGCGCCGCTGCTAGTTGCATATAGGGAAACACTGCTCTTTGTGGTATGAGTTCTTCTGGGTCATCGTGTACAGTTGCTTTGCTTTCAGGACTCTCTCCAGCAGCCATTCTTGCCTCTAAACTTTTCTCTATGCTCTCACTCTCACCCGCTCAAGCGTGCCTGTGGTGTGCAGCGGTGAAATGGGTCCCCGCTGAAGCACTTTGCCGCTGCGCACGCTCTGGACGTTGTTTGGGCTATTCACCGGTATTGCGGTATATGAAAAATTCATATCATAACGAAAATAAACACCGGTTTTCGGTACATACCGGTATACCGCCCAGCCCTAGTTATATGTCTTAGGTAGGGTGGCCAAACTACGGGCTCATTTTTAAAAATAAACTAGAATATGGCTTTAGCATATTTCTAATAAAGTGCACTGTTTGTACATTGCACAGCCAAAATTAAACTTGATGTTACTGTCAACTTAACAACTACAAGCAAGCCCTGCCACTATACTCCTTAAAGGATATTATTACTTCACCTACAATTGAACACTAGTCAATAAAAAATATTTACCTCAGTAAACATGGCAGCAGACCGGAAAAGATTGAAGACATACAAATAATTTTTGTAATATGTGTGCACGCCAATAAACTTCTGTAATGTCAAATGATGAACCTTTTAGTAGTGATGTGTGGTAGTTTAGTTTTGTTTAGTAGTTTAGAAAATTAATTTTCTATTGCAGCTGGGTTTTTCTGGTCTAGAACCTCTGATTTTCTTGCCGTGTAACTGGTTAACAACTATGCCTTTACTGTTGTTTGGCCCTTGTCTCTTTACATTTTTCTGTATATGGCCCACAATCAAATAAGTTTGGCCACCCCTGGTCTAAGACTTTTTTTATGAATGGCTAGGGAGAAGGACATTGTTTTATAGGTTCAAC